AATATTACTTTTGATATTGTTTTCAATTTTCTTATTTTCTTCAAATTCCAAATAAGGAAGAACATTATCTTTAAGTTCTGATAAAAGTTCTAATTGTTTTATTTCGTCATTATAATCGGATATTTTTTTCTCGTTTTCCTCTTTTAATTTCACAATGGAATCATTGAAAACACTTTCATCCATTTTATCAATGTCAGAATTAATATATTTTCCAGCATTCAATTTATAAATATCAATACCAGTAGAAATCCGAATTAAGCTTTCATTGATTTGATTGATTTCGTTAGTGACGTTTTCCTCTTTGGATTCCTGAAGTTCAGTTTCTAATATTTTTATTGTATCTGATGAGTCTTTTATGTTATTAAGGTTCTTTTGAATAGTAATACTAATACTTTCTATATCAGTATTCAATTGTTTAGAATCTATGTTTTGATTTGGATAATTTTTAAGGAAAAAATTTCTTATTTCTTTTAAAATACCTGAATTTTCCAATGCTTGAAGTCCTGATTCTTCTACTTCTAATTTCTTAATGATTATCTGTTGTTGTTCTTTGTCTTTTGACAGTTTATCGTTTAATGCTTGAAATGTTGATTTTAGCTTTTCCAATTCAACCCTATAAGAATTGATGATTTCTTTTGCCCAAGTTTCATATTCTTCTTTGGATTTATTTTGCAATAGTACTCTTTGAGAAGACAAGATTTTCGTTTCACTTAGGGATTTATTTTGAAGCTCAATAAGAGTTTTGTTAATATTCAAAATATTTTTACGGATATCTTTTTCAGCTAATTCATCCGTTGAAATATCTCTGTTTATTATTGTGACAAGCTCTTGCTCATATTTCGAAAGCTCTTCTAGCAGTTCCCGATAAGATTTTTCAATTTCGTTTTTTTCATTTAAAAGTTCAGACATCCTTTGTGATAAAAGCTTATTACTTGATACAGCATTGGCTAAATCGTTATATGTTTCATAGTCTTGGTTACATAAAGGGCACGAATTTGTTTTCTGTTCATTAATGATAGACAATCCTTTTGAAACAAATAATTCTAAATCTTTTTGAAAACTTTGTTGCCCTTCTATTTGAAGATTTAGGGATTGTAACTGTTTGCTTTTTTCCTCTAATGATTTTTCAGAGTTTAATATCTTTTCGATATAAAGTTTGTATTTTTCAAACGTACTTTCAAATGGTGACGGATAGTTTTTGTTATTAATTTCTGAAAGAGCTTTTTTTAGCTCTTTAATTCGATTGGATATATTATTAAGTTTATTATTCTCTTTTTCTAGTGTGTCAGCATTTTGTTTTATATCATCATTGATTTTGGTGATATTATTCTGGGTAGTTTCTATAATTTTTACTATTTCAGGCAGTTGTTCCAATCTCTTTTCAACCTCATCCAATTGATTCTGAAAATTAT